AAGAGAGAGATTTTTTCAATTCGTTCTTATTGTTTATCATAATGCGCTGTAATAATGTAGTATTCCTAGTATTAATTTGGCAATCTACAAGCAAATACAAAATTTGCAGGTGTACTATTTTTACTTTCTGTAATTCAAAATTGTTATTACTAATGAAATTACGAAATTGTATAATATCAATATGCTCAATAATACTAATTTTACTACCTGATTTGATTTTTTTCTTCCATGAAATCCTTATAATTATTATTGTGAATTTTTTAATAAATTAAAAGCGTGCTAAGAATGGGAAGTGAAATTTTAAAGTCCCGCGTGCTGGTTTATTTCAAATTTACCGGTTACTTCTTCGCTATTGGCTGTCCGTTTACCCAATAGAAATTAATACAGAACAATGTGGCGGCACCGGAAGTTAGGCAAATAAGGCTTTTCCTTCTAGGGTGACATTGAGTGCCGTCTCTGATATATACTCTTTGATTCAATTGTGGTCGGTCCAGTTGATCGCTTGGTTTCGCCACGTGAAGGTCGGAAGCTGAGTGATCTTTTCTTTTGCTTGAATTTGTGCCTAACGGTTTCAAAAACTCTTCAATATGGTAAGTTTGAAGTGCTTTACAACTTCCCCAAATGTTTATTTTATTGTAGACGTCATTTTATAGAACGTTAAATAGAAGTTCGTTTCCATCAGTTACAGGATTTCATTTGAGTCAAAACGAGTTCCTTTCTCACAAAAGAAAAAATTCTGCCCTGTTTAACTTATTAAATTTCATCGTACGTTAAGGTAGCATAAAGACCAATGTCGCATGTATCTGGCCCAATTTCATATGCAATTGCGTAGAGTAGACTGTCCGTTGCCCTCAATTCGCACGAAGTTTTCCCCTAGGAGTACACGAAAGCCGTTATGTTAAGATATTGAAAATGGTTTCTTTTCGTTTTTTCAGCGTGAATGCATCTCTGTACACGTTGGACAGGCTGGTTGCCAGATTGGCAATGCTTGTTGGGAATTATATTGTTTGGAACATGGGATCCAGCCTAATGGTCAGATGCCTTCAGACAAGACCTTGGGAGGTAGTGACGACTCCTTCAACACCTTCTTCATGGAAACTGGCGCAGGGAAACACGTCCCTCGTGCAGTATTCGTAGACTTGGAGCCGACAGTTGTTGGTAAGTCTTTGATAACTTGTATGGGGAGTGACTGAAGTAGATAGCTAAATTTAATTGTTTTAAAAATCTATTATAATAAAAATTAGTAAAAACAGTTGATTTGCTTGGACTGAAATGTGTATATTAATTGCAGAGCCCCAAAACCTTTTTGATATGCAGCTGTACTAACAATTAACTTTGCCCCAGAAATGTGGTGACAATTTCATTTCTTAGTGGGTTGCTTTGCTAAATTTTGAAAAATGTAGGGTTCTTAAGTAGAGTAATCAAATAAATTGAAACTTAACAATTGCTTCTGTAGTTTAAAGGTCAATAGCTCTGGATGATAAAATTTTCCTAATCTGAGGCATAACTATTGTTGCAGAACTTTAACATTAATTCTAACTTTTATTTAAATTTCTGTCCTCTTCAAAATAGGACACACTCGAAATCATTACTTGGTTGTTTCAGATGAAATTCGTACTGGCACGTACCGTCAGTTGTTTCACCCAGAGCAGCTAATCACTGGAAAAGAGGATGCTGCTAACAACTATGCACGTGGTCACTACACTATTGGCAAGGAAATTGTGGACTTGGTTCTGGACCGTGTCCGTAAACTTGCTGACCAATGCACTGGTCTGCAGGGTTTCCTGATTTTTCACTCCTTTGGCGGTGGTACTGGATCAGGATTTACTTCTTTGCTGATGGAACGCCTATCAGTTGATTATGGCAAAAAGAGCAAGCTGGAATTTGCCATTTATCCTGCTCCTCAGGTATCCACTGCTGTTGTGGAACCATACAATTCCATCCTGACCACCCACACTACTTTGGAACATTCAGACTGTGCCTTCATGGTGGACAATGAAGCCATCTATGACATTTGCAGACGCAACCTTGACATTGAACGCCCCACTTACACAAACTTAAACCGTTTGATTGGCCAGATAGTGTCTTCCATTACTGCTTCCCTCCGATTTGATGGTGCCCTCAATGTAGACCTTACTGAATTCCAGACCAATTTGGTGCCATATCCTCGCATTCATTTCCCATTGGTAACCTATGCTCCAGTAATTTCTGCTGAGAGAGCTTATCATGAGCAACTGTCTGTTGCGGAGATCACAAATTCTTGCTTTGAGCCTGCTAATCAGATGGTGAAATGTGACCCACGGCATGGCAAATACATGGCGTGTTGCATGCTTTACAGAGGAGATGTGGTTCCAAAGGATGTGAATGCTGCCATTGCCACCATCAAAACGAAACGCACAATCCAGTTTGTAGATTGGTGCCCCACTGGCTTTAAGGTGGGCATTAACTATCAGCCACCGACAGTCGTCCCTGGTGGTGACCTGGCGAAGGTACAACGAGCTGTGTGCATGTTGTCGAATACCACTGCCATTGCTGAGGCTTGGGCTCGCTTAGATCACAAGTTTGACCTGATGTATGCCAAGCGTGCTTTTGTGCACTGGTATGTGGGAGAAGGTATGGAGGAAGGAGAGTTCTCTGAAGCCCGCGAGGATTTGGCTGCCCTGGAGAAAGACTATGAAGAAGTCGGCATGGACTCTGTTGAAGGAGAGGGTGAAGGAGCTGAAGAATATTAAATCCATTTTGAAATGTGCTTTTAAACAACAAAATTTATTATTAAATTAACAAAATTTATTATTAAATTTATTAATAAATTTGTAACATGAATTTCTCTATTTTATTTTCTTTCCATTTTAGAAAGCATTTTATAGTAAATGAACCCAGTAAATGGCAGTTTGGATGTACTTCTGTTTAGGAGTAAAAAGTGGGAGCATTAGATTTACAGGATTTTAAATTAAAAATTGCAATAGTGCTGGGCTTTTCTTTCCAAATTGCTCAGCAATATAGTTTGCTTGTTAGATGGGTGGTAAAATTAAGCTTCAAATTGTGTAATGAGCAGTTTTTTTAATAAAAACCAAAGTTTTAAAATAATTTAGTTGGGAACCTAATGTTGATGTTGGCACATGGAAGTCATATTTTGAAGAAAAAACTTGGTTTTTTGCTTCATAGCAATTGCTTGTACAGCTGATATTTGGTGACAGTAAAAAAATTGAAAGATCCAGAGGAGTTAACTAATTGTGTTGGTTTACTATAAAAAATTCTAGAATTTGCATGCAGCTGAGAAATTCTTAGTAGGTAATTAGTGCTGTGAACAGATGAAGTTTAGTTTGAGGGTCTTGAACAATTCTTATATTCGAGCAGAATGAGATTTCAGGTAATGAAATAATTGTAACATTTATTGAAATGCTTATTTTAACTATGGAAAAATAGTCTCCCTGACAATTGTCATTAAAATGTATTAATTTTTAATATTAATAAATTACAGTATGGTAGCTACTTTAAGAAGTGAGTTCGTTTTTCTCCAAAATAAGTTGATGTAATAGTTATTTATCTACCAAGGCTCTAACAAAAGATTGGCGACAAAACGTAAGCGGGCTGTTTGTCGTCAGATATCGTTAGAACCAGTTTTAATGATGGAAATTTGCACACATCGTGCAATTAGTTTTCTACCGCATACATGGTTGTAGATTTGGTCCAGATGGTGCAATTTGTGTGATAACGCTCGCACTCTCAGATTCGCTGCATCATATACTATAATATCATGCATCATATGCTATATATATACTATAATATCGTTGCATCATATACTAATACATTTGTTTCGTGCAAAAATGACGAACCCCCTTCCCCAAGGCCTAGTTTTCTGTCAACCTTCCTCTTATGTAATTATTCAAACAGTAATGTTGGATAACATATCTACAGTACATAAATAGTCTAACAAATGTATTTTGTTTATATTTAATAAAAATGTACGACTCCCGCCCGCCGAAAAAAAAAAAAGATCGGCGGGATCCGCCCAGGTCTCGTGCATTGCAGCACGTATAATATAAAGACATTGGAAATAAAACGTATAATCACATGCTTTTGTATGTATTATCCGCGCACATTTTCTTGAGCCCTCGCTTCGCTAGTTGCGAGAGGTGTGGAGAGTTTGGTTATTTTCACAAAAGAAATTTTATATCAAAGTGATTCGTCGTTTTTGGATGCAAAATTGTTTCTATTACTGGGAGACATTTTTGTTTATCAGATTTTGTCAAAACGCTATTCTTAAATCATCTAATGTTCGCAAAGGAGTGGGGGAGATATGCTGGGGTTCACGAAAACGTGCGCGTGTAATACCCTGCCTGACCCTGACCATTCTCTTTTTATCATCGCATCAGTACAGTATAAAAGTACAGTTACGGAACCAGTTGACTTGACACACGAGGCAGTGTGGGCACGGTGAAGGACCACAATAAATTTTTCAAATTTCCCACCAAATATAATTATTATTGCTCTCTTATCAGCAAGCAGATAAATTTCAAGCACGTAACTGTTATCTAAGAAGAACAATAATAAGTATAATAATAACCGTAAACTTACTATAATGTACTTTAAGTTAGTATTTTTTATTCCGTAGGACTGGCACTAAGCGCTAGAAACCTTAGTAGTATTTGTTACAAATTTTCTCGTTTATTTCAACGAACACAATGTGAAAAGACATGCTAGAAGTGAGTAATATTTAACAGCCATATCTTCAAATTTGTATTCATTAATTTATTATATCTTATTATTGTAACTTTATTCAAAAAGGAACGTACGAAGTTGGAACAATTTTTGAGGAGGCGTTGGCAGCAAAAACGAGATGTTTTAGCGGGCTTTATTGCTACCAAGTACCAACCGCTCTTGCGTCAATGTGGTTACCCGAAACGCAAGAATACTGGATTTGAAATTTCAAATGCTTATTTACTTCGTTTTGATTTTTTCACGAGCATCTATAATGGCATTTGCGTCAGGTTCTAGATAGTTGGTAGATCAGATTTATGATTGCCATAAGGATAACAATGGAATTCAGGACATCCGGAATATATTGCAGAGAATATTGTTTATATTAATACAACTAAACAGTGTATCAAGTAAATCGTATAATTAAATAGTATATCAAGAAAACAACTAAATAGATTAAGATACTATCCCACATTGCACACTTCCAAGAATATCAGGGTGACCACTTCTACAACGAATTTCCGTAACTTTTGAAAGTTATATAGAGATAATTGTCCAGGCCCGTCTCCTTATTTTTTCATAACAAAAGTTGTGAAGTATTTCAAGGTATTTAAATAAAATATAAAATAGAGCATGACCGGTCGATATTAAAACACTGTTTTTGAGCGACTCCTTTTCCCCTTTGCAATCTACTTTTCCAATTTTTTACTGCCTGTAAATGCTTATTTTATGTTTAAATGCGGAATTGTTGGTTATTCTCTTATTTACTGATCAGAAAGCAATTATCCTCAATAAAAAATGTAAAAAGTTGTACTTTTATTCGTTTTTATCCTGCAGAGTATAGAAAAATCAAACAACTATTGACAAATGGATCCTAACCCTTCATGAAATCAAAACTATTGACCAATCTATTCCATTTTACTACCACCATCCATTGACCTATACTCTCTGACCACCACAGTGCGGGTATTTCGTTTAAATCAGATATTTAAAAAAGGTCTTGCATAATTTTTTTAAGCAAGTGCTTTTTATTGCAGGATTTCTGCATGAAATTCATACAAATCATAACAAATTCTCAAAACCTACTACAAATTTTTGCTTCAATTTCTTCCCACAGATAGAAAAATGGACACATGAAAGAATGGCTCAGGTCCAATTTTTGTTAAACTCTGTAAATTTTAGAAAATTGCAAATTTTCAAATATTTTTCAGATTTAATGCAAGAGTGTATGTGCTGTTGTAACATCACTAGTTACATTTGTCTTATGCATGGTGTTTAAAACTAATCATACAATATTTTCAATTATGTTTAAATTAAATGTTAAAAAAAAGGTCATATTGTACAGCATTAGAGTATCAGTTTGCATTTAATGAAAAGCAAAATGGTAGATTCAGCCTTTTTTTGTCCAAATTGCCCAACATTGAAAGAAAATATTTTTAGGAGATTTGTCAGAACAATGATAAAACAAACATTCCATGAAGGTAACTCTTTGTGTTTACTTCAGAAACTTTCTACGCAAGTGTATAAATATGGATAAGAGAAATGTACTTACAGCATTAAATTTGGTTTAGAGGTGTTTTTTTTATAAGTAAAGACAAATTTGAGGCTCCAATTAAGTTGGGGCCTGGGGCAAGTTGCTTAGCCCCACTGCTAGTCGTTCCTGGGTCTACGCTGTGAAACTCTGGGATATGCATGACGTGGGGTCCTTTTGACTTAGCTCACATTTGGAAAATTGTGAAAATAGTCAATTTTAGGAAACAATAAAATCCAAATTTTTCAAAATACATCCTTTTTGTCAGACTTCTAAAATAACACAAATTCTTATAAAATCTCCAAGAAATAATGTAATTTCACAAATCAGTATGTATCACAACTAACAACAATAAATGAAAGACAAAAAATCACAACAAAAAGGAAACTGGATTTCTAAATATGGACGTAAATGTAGCTTCACTATGCGCACGTTTTGTTGAACTCTCCTTTTGCTTGTAATGGTAAGAGTAGAAGTCAGAGTTACTATTTTGTAAGCAATTAAGAAAAATCCTACTAGCAATTCGTTTACCGATGCAAATAAGTTTTCTATAAATCGGAAACAAAAGTGTATTTTTTTCAAATATTACTAATCTTGCGATTTTTAAAATTTATTATTATTTATCTATTTTAAACATTTACTCATCTTTCAACAAAATTATGGGATTCTGGAACTCAAGAAAAGGTGCGCAGATAACCTT